TATATATATATATATATATATATATATATATATATATATATATATATATATATATATATATTATATATACACACACACACATATATACATATATAATACATATGAACCTCATGGCAACATTCAGCTTTGTTGTCTTTGTGGTTTAATAAATATCTCTCATTTAAAATGTGTGCAGAAAAACAAAATATGAACTAAAAAAATGCCAGTAACATAAAATTAACTTCCAAAAACTTTAAGAGTATGAAATGATACAGAAAGGTAGAGAAAGTATTATTATAATAATAAAGTTTATTTGAAAATCACGCTTCATCCCCAAAGGCTCAAAGCACAGTACAAAGTCAACCATATTAAAAGAGAAATGAAAAAATCTATATTATACTACATTGAAATACAAAACGCAACATTACAAAAACTACATAAGAGAATACCCATTCCAAGTCTTTCATCCCTTGCAAACATAAACAACACAGGCCAATATACATCTAGGAGATAATAGCCAGCTGGAAAGATGGTAGACAACATCACCCCAGCTGTTTGCGAAATTATATATTATATGTTAAACTTCCCAAAATTCCTTCTATCTATTGGATCTTGATTGATACCACAGACTTACCAAAGATTCTACATCCATCTGCTCAGTTTCAAACAGAGTTAATTTATCTTGAAGGCCCACTTTTGAAAGCAATGTTTCAAGGGTTAATACATCATCTTTTTCAGAACCTTCAATTGAAATTCTTTCATCATGAGGCACATCAGGTGCATGTGAAACTGACTGAAATGTTGAAAATATACTAATTAAAAAATGTTAATATTAATTAAGATATTATAAAATAGTATGTATCTTTTTAAGAATTTAAGAAACTAAAGGAAAAATAATAGTTACAATTTTATTTTTTTTTATTTAAAGTAAGAAAAACTAATATGATGATTCATGTTTTCATTATTTACTAAGTGATTTCAACATGGCAGAAACAATATATTAGGAAGAAAATATGGGTTATTATGAGAAAGGCCGACATCCCTTGCAAGTTCTTAAATTTCGTATTCATCAATTTTGCTCTATTCAGGGTTCCTGCACCAAATCTAAAAACAAATTCCAGGAGTTTTCCAGGAGTTTTCCAGGAGAAAATACAAAATTCCAGGACATTTTTTAAAGAGTAAAAAACGGAGAGACCCTATACGCTTATACAATTTTTTTGTAGTAACAGGACATAAATGCACTTATATAGTACCGGTACTTACTCTAAGGATTGCCAATGCTATAGCAATTATTTGATTTAGTTATGTACCGGTATAGATATTCTGGCCCCGAGTTCACATACAATTGAGTAACTTGGTTTTTTATAAGAATAAGATGCACTTGATGTTGGATAACAAACAACTAATAAAGTTATAAGATAATCCATTTTATTCACAAGTAAGTCATATTTATTTCCGAAGATACACATAACCTAGGAGCTTGACTAGGAAGTTGAAAAAGTGGACACCCGAGGTAGGTGAAAAAACTGAAGTTGAACTAGAGGAAGACTCAGATGATTGTTGTTTATCATTGTTGATCATTTTCCCCTAATTTTCATGGCATCCGAGAACTGTCCTGCAAATATACTTCATATATTTACAGTATTTTTGTTTTTTCCTGTACTCATAAAGATCCCTAAGACGTGACGTGAGCTGTATTTTGTTGAAATTTAGGGAGAGTTGCTCAATTCGCCAGAGCC